TTATTTTTATTTATTTTCGGGCCTCCTTGCCAGAGGTGCCGGCGAGCTTCGGCCGCAGCCGAATTAATTCAAAGTATTTAACTAATGCTTGTAGAATATTTTTTTTTAAAAAAATTACCCTGGCGACGTACCCAACCCCTGCGCAAAAGCGGGGCGCAAATAGTTTAGGATACGTTATAAGGGGGCGATGACGGAGCGAGGGTTGCATATGTCTGCAGCCGGAATTCGGGAGACTCGCAGGACACTGGCTACAGGAAAAGGGCTTGATAAAACTGATGAGTTACAATTCCTGGGCACTCCTAGCCACTTCGAAAATGGTGATCACAGCAGGCCTCGAAAGTGGCGACAGTTTCACAGATCGCAGCCCCCCAGGGATGGCGAGGTCTAATTTGGGTCCGCGCGTGGCGTCACTGTGCTTCCCTTTGGTCACATGCAGGCTCAGGCTTTCAGTGATGGCGAGGTCTAATTTGGGTCCGCGCGTGGCGTCACTGTGCTGGGCCCCCCAGCAGGCCTCGAAAGTGGCGACAGTTTCACAGATCGCAGCCTCCAGGGGATGGCGAGGTCTCATTTGAATCTGCCCGTGGCGTCACTGCGCTGGGCCCCCCAGCAGGCCTCGAAAGTGGCGACAGTTTCACAGATCGCAGCCCCCGAGGTCTCATGCCCGTGGCGTAACTGTCAGCAGGCCTCGAAAGTGGCGACAGTTTCACAGATCGCACCCCCCCAGAGATGGCGAGGTCTAATTTGAATCCGCGCGTGGCCCTCACTGTGCTGGGCCCCCCAGCAGGCCTCGAAAATGGCGACAGTTTCACAGATCGCAGCCCCCCAGGGATGGCGAGGTCTCGTTTGAATCTGCCCGTGGCGTCACTGTGCTGGGCCCCCCAGCAGGCCTCGAAAGTGGCGACAGTTTCACAGATCGCACCCCCCCAGGGATGGCGAGGTCTCATTTGAATCTGCCCGTGGCCCTCACTGTGCTGGGCCCTCCAGCAGGCCTCGAAAATGGCGACAGTTTCACAGATCGCTCCCCCCCAGGGATGGCGAGGTCTAATTTGAATCTGCCCGTGGCGTCACTGTGCTGGGCCCCCCAGCAGGCCTCGAAAATGGCGACAGTTTCACAGATCGCAGCCCCCCAGGGATGGCGAGGTCTCATTTGAATCTGCCCGTGGCCCTCACTGTGCTGGCCCCCCCAGCAGGCCTCGAAAATGCGTGGCAGTTTCACAGATCGCAGCCCCCCAGGGATGGCGAGGTCTAATTTGAATCCGCGCGTCACCCTCACTGTGCTGGGCCCCCCAGCAGGCCTCGAAAATTGCGACAGTTTCACAGATCGCAGCCCCCCCAGGGATGTCGAGGTCTAATTTGAATCTGCCCGTGGCCCTCACTGTGCTGGGCCCCCAGCAGGCCTCGAAAATGGCGACAGTTTCACAGATCGCAGCCCCCCCAGAGATGGCGAGGTCTAATTTGAATCTGCCCGTGGCCCTCACTGTGCTGGGCCCCCCAGCAGGCCTCGAAAGTGGCGACAGTTTCACAGATCGCAGCCCCCCAGGGATGGCGAGGTCTAATTTGAATCGCCCGTGGCCCTCACTGTGCTGGGCCCCCCAGCAGGCCTCGAAATGGCGACAGTTTCACAGATCGCAGCCCCCCAGGGATGGCGAGGTCTAATTTGAATCCGCCCGTGGCCCTCACTGTGCTGGGCCCCCCAGCAGGCCTCGAAAATGGCGACAGTTTCACAGATCGCAGCCCCCCAGGGATGGCGAGGTCTAATTTGAATCTGCCCGTGGCCCTCACTGTGCTGGGCCCCCCAGCAGGCCTCGAAAATGGCGACAGTTTCACAGATCGCAGCCCCCCAGGGATGGCGAGGTCTAATTTGAATCTGCCCGTGGCCCTCACTGTGCTGGGCCCCCCAGCAGGCCTCGAAAATGGCGACAGTTTCACAGATCGCAGCCCCCCAGGGATGGCGAGGTCTAATTTGAAGCACTGTGCTGGGCCCCCCAGCAGGCCTCGAAAATGGCGACAGTTTCACAGATCGCAGCCCCCCGCAGGCAAGACAGGAAGAGGCAGGGAGGGAGGGAGGAGGGAGGAGGGACGCGACCACACTGCTCTATTCAAAACGAATACCCAACCAAGGAGGGTTGGGAATAAATAGCTTGAATAAGTAAGATAAGTTCTGCGGCCCTGCGGATCGCCTGGATCTCCGCCAGGGAGGCCCGGAAAATAAATTACATAAAATAAATTACCCTGGCGACGTACCCAACCCCTGCGCAAAAGCGGGGCGCAAATAGTTTAGGATACTTTATAAGGGGGCGATGACGGAGCGAAGGTTACATATGTCTGCAGACGGAATTCGGGAGACTCGCAGGACACTGGCTACAGGAAAAGGGCTTGATAAAGCTGATGATTTACAATTCCTGAGCACTCCTAGCCACTTCGAAAACGGGGATCACAGCAGGCCTCGAAAGTGGCGACAGGTTCACAGATCGCAGCCCCGCAGGGACGGCGAGGTCTCATTTGAATCTGCCCGTGGCCCTCACTGTGCTGGGCCCCCCAGCAGGCCTCGAAAATGGCGGCAGTTTCGCAGATCGCAGCCCCCCAGGGATGGCGAGGTCTAATTTGAATCCGCGCGTGGCCCTCACTGTGCTGGGCCCCCCAGCAGGCCTCGAAAGTGGCGACAGTTTCGCAGATCGCAGCCCCCCAGGGAGGGCGAGGTCTAATTTGGATCTGCCGCGATTGCCCTCTATGCTGGACCCCCCAGCAGGCCTCGAAAGTGGCGACAGTTTCACAGATCGCAGCCCCCCCCCCCCCCAGGGATGGCGAGGTCTAATTTGAATCTGCCGCGATTACCCTCTATGCTGAGCCCCCCAGCAGGCCTCGAAAGTGGCGACAGTTTCACAGATCGCAGCCCCCCAGGAATGGCGAGGTCTAATTTGGATCTGCCGCGATTACCCTCTATGCTGGGCCCCCCAGCAGGCCTCGAAAGTGGCGAATGTTTCACAGATCGCAGCCCCCCGCGGGCAAGACAGGAAGAGGCAGGCAGGAGGCAGGAGGGGGGCGGGAGGAGACGCGACCACACTGCTCTATTCAAAACGAATACCCAACCAAGGAGGGTTGGGAATAAATGAAATAAATGAATACATTAAACTAATAGAGTGAATTAAATTTATGTGATTCTCTTAATCTGGCCCTCATGATTAAGTAACTAAATTAAAATAGCCATATTTATTTAGTCTACGTCATTTATTCAATTCATTTAGCGTATTTAGTTTCTTTTTCCGGCCTCCTTGTCGGAGATGCCGGCGAGCCTTGGCCGCAGCCGAATTGATTTAATTATTGTAATTAATGCTTGTAGAATGAATTAACTAATTAAATCAATTCAATAAATTCGGCGGCCTGGCGTTCCTTGTTTATGACTTTCATTGCATGACGTCCCTTGTATATGACATTCCTTGTATATGACCTTCCTTGTATATGATGTTCCTTGTATAGGATGTTTCCTGTAAAAGGCGCTCTTGTGTATGACGTTACGTGTATATGATGTTCCTTGTATCCGACTATCATTTTTACATTGTATTCCTTTTTATATGATCTTTCTTTGTGCATGACATTCATTGTACAGGCCCTTCCTTGTTCTCGTTCCTCATATGACATTCTTTGTGTAACACATACCTTGTATAAGACGAGCACTTTATATGACGCTCCTTGGGTATGGTGTTTGTTGCATATGACTTCCCCATCCCGTCGAGGCCCACGACCCTCACGAGGCTTACGGGCCCTGCAAGCGTTGAGTGTTCCACCAGGAGGAGGATGAGGAGGAGGAGGAGGAGGAGGACGAAAAGGAGGAGAAGGAAAAGGAGGGGGAGTGGAGAACGGTACGAGGGCGATATGTCCGCAGGGGCGCCTTGGCGGACATATCGTCCCAGAGACGCCCAAGTCCCATGTATTTGGCTCTCGTGGGGCCGCCGCGGGCGGTCTTGGAAAAAGTCTTGAGCGAATCCGCATAGCGCTGGAACCATATCGGGCCGTTTTGGAACCCGAAGGCCCGTCGAGGCCCGCGAGCTTCATGAGCCTTACTAGTCCCGCAAACGTTACAGGCGTTCGCCAGGAGGAGGAGGGCAGGGTGAGGAAGAGTAGGGGGGCGATGTTGGGATACGTCCGCAGGGGCGCTAGTGCGAACACATCGCCCCAAAGACCCCAAAGCCCAATGTCGTTGGCCCTCGTAGGGCCATGACGGACCGTCTTGGAGACCATCTTGGGCGGCGAACCCGCAGAGCGCTGGGATCATCTCGGGTAATCTTGGGGATCAAATGCCCATCGAGACCCGCGAGCTTCATGAGCCTCACGAGCCCCGCAAGCCTCGCGGGCGTCTGCCAAGAAGAGGAGAAGGAAGGTGAGGGTGAGTAGGAGGGCGATGTTGGGATATGTCCGCAAGGGCGCCTTGGCGGACATATCGTCTCAAAGACCTTAAAGTCCCCAGTCCTTGGCCCTTGTGGCGGGCCGTTTCGGGGGGTTCTCGGGCGAGCTCGGAGAGCGCTAGAACCATCTTGTGCCGTCTTGCAGGCCAAAAGCCCGTCGAGGTTCACAAGCCTCAAGAGCCTTACCGGCCCCGCAAACCATACGGGCGTCCACCAGGAGGAGGAGGAGGAGGAGGAGGAGGAGGAGGAGGAGGAGAAGGAGGAGGAGGGGGGGAGGAGGGGGAGGGGGAGTGGGAGGGGGAGTGCGAGGGCGTTGAGATTCTGGCAAACTCTAGCCTACAAATGCGAGGAGGTGTCAGGCGAAACGGGCTGGACCACCTCGGGTCAGGACATAGCGGAACCCAGACGAGGAGGAAGAGGAAGGAGAGAAGATGGGGGCTTTCTTATAGCCTGTGTGTGTGTGAGTGAGTGAGTTGTCGCTCGATATGCTTGGGTGTCACGTTGCAAGGCCGCACCTATATCGGCTATCCGATGTCATGTGTCATGTATGTCATGTATCGATGTTGGCTATCCGATATCTACGTTCGAGAGTACGTCATGATGATGCACATCATACTTGGCAGTGACTACCTCGTCGCCCACGACGGGGTCATGTATTTTCGGAACGGGAATACAAGGTTCTTCGAGAAGTACGAGGGTCTCGTGCCAGAGATTGTGTATGCTGCCCTGAAGGAGTACCTCTTGACTTTAGAAGGGCTTTTCCGGTCTTTTACTGGCGAGGTTCGGCGGGTTGGATGACGAGGCCGTGATGTCCGCAATCGAGGGGTCGTTGGAGAAGAGCGGGCCCGAGGCTCGGAAGGCGTTCGCCGCGTGGCGCGACAACGCCATCTTCGACAGAGGAGGCAAGGGCGGCGGCAAGGGCGGCGGCATGGGGTGCGCGGGGGAATCTGCCGCAGAATTCGATGCCCTCTCGCAGATAGAGGCGCAAGGGCTGGATGGCGATGCGCACGCGCCGGCGGACGACAGCGCCGCGCGCAGTGCGCCGTGGTATATCACGATCGCAGTGAGCGTTGCTCGAGTTGGGCGAAGCTTACAGATCCAGATGATTCAGAACAAGTTGCCGTCGTTTTACTGCGAGTGGTGCGAGACTCCGCGCCCCTCGCTCAGAGGCGTCGCCCGCCCCGACATCGCGTTCGTCTACGACCTGGGCGGAGCCCCGATGAAGCAAATCGCGAATGAGTGTGAAGGCAAGAACATATACATCGGCATACCGCACAAAATCAAAGCTTATTTGGGCGACCCGGCGTTGAAGACAGCCGCGCCGCGACCAGTTCTACAGGCAGACGTTCTGGGCAAACGCCGCCGCGCACAAAGTGTGCATGGCCGCCCTCGCTCTGGCGAAGGGAGGGTTGAACATCGACCAGCTGTTCTTCTTCTGGGGAGCTGGCGGCGTCGGGCTTTCGCTGATGACGGCCCATCTCGACGCCGTGCTCGGGCACTCCAACCACAAGTATTTCGACCCGCACGTGTTCTACCTGGATGAGGAGATGCGGAAGACGGTGGAGTCGCTCAAAGGCACGATCGCTCTCGCGGCACAGGAGAAGCCAGAAGGCTTGAGGAAGAGCTTCCGGGAGGACTTGTTCAAGAAACTGGCGTCTGCCGACGGCATCTTTGGTCGACTCCCGTATCAAATTTTGACAAAGGTTATATATCTGTTCGGGTGGAAACGCATGGAGCTAAAAAACGTTCATCACTTTCGACGGAGTCACTGAGGGCGCATTCCACGCCATTTACCGGAGGTCTCTTCTGATCAAGATTTTTGCTAGGCTTGTCGATGCGGAATACATCAGGCGCGCCCTGCTGGACGCAGAGAAGTACGGCATCTTCCCGCGGGCGCTGGATCTGAAGCCGTTCATGCAGTCGGGGCCCGCCATCGCGGCCGGTCTGCAACGACAGCTGGGCTTCGAACGGAAAAATGGCGAGGCGGCATCGAGGTCGCTGATAGATGACTACTGCCTGCGCGGAGGAGGTAATGGGATCACGGAGAAATGCATGCGACAGGCGTGTCTTCTCCCGGAGCCGAGCAGGCCGAAGCCTGGCGGCCAGAGCAACGCGGCTGCCCCGCCGCCCGGCGTCGACTTCGAAGTCGGAGTGGGCGAGTCGCAGGACGCGGAAGAGCCCATGGCGCGGTTGCGCCGCCAACTCCTCCATCAGATGCTCGAGCGGAGCTTCGACGCCTTGACATTTTCATATTTCAGGCAGATGTCTACAGGGCAGATTCAAGGCTTGCCGGAGAAGAAACCGACGCTGTGGAAGGCGATGGAGGAGTCCGCCGGATGGTCGAAAGGTGGTTTGCATGGCAAAGCGAAGGACAGACTTTCACCAAAATTGTTGACCACTCGCAAATTCGATGATATTGTGCCGGCGCCGAACGTGGAAGAGCCGACCGTGCTCCCGGAACAGTGGGACCGCGCGGCGCTGAGCCGTTACGCGAACGGCAACGCTTGTCGCAAGCACAACGTCGACATCATGATTGCGACCTTGGGGGCCGTCCCAAAGCCGCGCGGGCGGAAGAAACGCGGAACTGAGCCCGAGGTGGGCGGCGACGCCCATCTGCGCGCGGTCGGCGCGTCCATTCAGGCAGCAGAGCTCACCCTGGAAGCGTTGCTCGAGAGCGCGCGCGAGAGGCCGACCGTGGTGCCAGCCGACGCACCAGCGGAGAAGAGGAGGAACATCGGTGTGAAGAAGAGCTTCAGCGGTGGCATCGACTTGGCAGAGCGCGGCATCTCCTACGCGCATCAACGCACGGCGGCCCGTCGCTTCGCGGATGGCCCGGCGGCGCAGGGGTGCCCGGCGCGCGCGCTACATTCGATGCTGGAAGGCACCGTTGATCTCGACATCCACAGCGCGGTCCTGACCGTCACCTGGCAGCTCGTGGAGAAAATGGACATGGTCGACAAGAACCTGTTCAACGAGGAGTTAGAGTTGCTGAAGCGGCTGGCTGAGAACAGGGACGAGGTACTGCGGAGCGAGTTGCGGGACATGGGGCCCGAGGCGGCCAGGCGCTTCTTACTCGAGATCATCGGCGGGGCCCGTTCTTTCGACGCCGATGCCAGGCCATTCGCCAAAAAGTTGCAACGCGTGAGCCGCGTGCTGCGGTGGCTGGCGTGCTCGGCATTGCCCGAGGTATACGAGAGCTTCTGCCACGACGCCGCGCAGGGCGACGGCGAGAAGACAGGGAAATGGCCGGAGGGACAAACGTTCTCGACTTTCTACCAGCGTGCGGAAGACTACATCCTCGGTCAGTGGCAGACGTGGGTGCTAGCGCAGCCGGTGAAGCATCTGTCTCTGCATTTCGACGGCGTCAGGATCAGCCGGGACGCGGTGCTCGCCAACCATGCCACCGTGGCGGACTTCGCCGCTGACGCGAGTGCCCATATCGCGAGGGAAACAGGCTTCGTAGTCAAAATCACAGAGAAGACACACCCGAAGATCGCGGAGGCACTGACGAGCTGCGAGGCGTGGCGGCCAACGGATGCGCTTTCGGCGCCCAACGACCTACTGAGGCCCGGCAATGGTATTCTGCTGGCGCTGTGGCGATGCGGCGACGCCAGGGTGTCCGCGTCCGTCGAATCTTGCGCCGGCGCCACGTCCGTGGAGAGCAGTGCTGCCAGCGTAGAGAAAGGGAGGACGTACGCGGAGTGTTGCGTGGCACACGGCGTGTCAATGATGCCGCAGCTGGGCTTCGATGCTCGCGAGCAGGGGCGCAATCTTCTCCACGTGGACGGGCACGGTTCGCCATCGTGCGCACTCGTCCACGTGGGGGCGGAGCTCGACAAGGCGACGGTTTATTTTCATGGCCAAGTCGGCGAGGTGAGTCTGGCAGAGATCCATGATGCCGTCCTCGCCGGGCGAGACTCGAGGTTAGCAGTCACGTTTCGCGTGAATTTGTCCCCGGCGGCGCAGGCGGCCGCCGAAGACAGCCGCGGCGCCGGGCCCTTGGCAGCGCTCTTGAATATGATGGCGTGAGGCCCGGGGCAACGCATTCCGTTTCACCGCTCCTCGCTTCGCTGGGGCCCTCAGGGCAACAGATCCCGTTGCATTGTCCTTCACTTCGCCAGCCCGCGCTGCTAGCATGTTGGCTTCCTTCCAGTACAGGAAATACAAAGTCAATCAATATTCGCATCCAGTCATCACCAGACTAGATATGACCTCATACGCTCTCAGAATAAATTTGGACAGCCAGGTTTACCTCAATGTTCTGCGCAGATCTGCCTTCACAGGTGTATCCGCGCGCCTTCTGAGGCGTTGCTCGCCGCGTCAGCTCAAGTCATGCGTGGTGCGTGGGTCGGCTTTGCCGCCCTGTGCGTTCTTCGCTTCATATTTATCCGTTTTCCCCTGTGGGTCGGCCTTGCCGCCCTGGCACCTCATCGCCCCGCCGCGCGCTACCTGGCATGTGCGAAGCGCTCGCGATTGTCGCATGCGCCGACCCGCGCGGAAGGCGATTGCAATGTGTTTCTGGGTCAAACGCTCCATCGAGCATGTATCCATCCAGCTTCTTGGTAGCATTGGCGAGCTGGGAGATGACGAGAGGCCCGCGACCCCAGACCCCTACCTTCCTGGCGTCGGCAAGCGGCAGTGGGAGGCCAAGGTTTCTGCTTGGCACAGGGACGTGTCGCGACTTCTTGACGAGGTGCCGGTTGGTGCGACGGAATTAGCGGCGGCCGAAGAGCTCGGTGTCTGGGTAGAGCCTTCGCCGCCCGCAGTGCGCGGCTGTCGAGCTCTCCTGCAAGATGGAAACTGCGTCCGGCTCGCTTACAGCATCCTGACGCAGGATTTCTGCGGCTGCATCGAATACTGCGCGCGATTTCCCGTTCCTCGTGGCGCGGAGCGCCGCTGCGCAGACGTCGCCGACCACTTCGGCTTCTCTCTGACCGTCGTGCGCCTGCAGGCTTCGCGGCAGGGTGCGCGCTCAGTCTTGCCCAGGAAGTATTTCTGTCATATGCGGGATCATTGCTGCGCTGCGGCTATTCTCCCAAGGGCACTTTCGGCGATCGTGTGGAGGGGTTTCAGCCGACATGTTCTGCCAACGGCGCAGTGGGTCCGCCGCGTCGAGGAAGTCAAGGGCGCGCTGTTGCACATCGCTGACAGCAGTGAACGGGCACTCGACGTCGATCTGGCAACTGGAAGGGGATCGCGGGAGACCGCGGCCGACAGGTGCTTCGTGAGCGCCGACGACGATCCGCTGGGAGGAATGCTGCATGGGGAAGACGCATCCAATGCGTGTCTGAGCTTGGCTCTGAATGCGTGGGGGGCAGACGTGCCGACCAGCATGCAAGGCCCATTCCGTGCGCTCGAGCACGGGAACCAATGGCTGTCACACCTCGGCCTCGCCCTGATCAGGCAGCCGCGGCGCCCGACCGGCCCTGGGCATTACGTCAGGCGGGGGCTGCCGCGGCGCAAAGCTGGACTGGCCGCGAGCGCGGGCCACTTCACAGGCGTTATCCTGCGGCCAGGCAGCGCCGCTGTGATTGGCCGCCGAGCATGCCTTCCAGCTGTTCGCGGGTGGCGAGCGTGGGGCGACATTCCGGACGTTGAGGAACACAGGGTGTTCTTGTTGGTGGAGCTCGGCGCGCAGAGGCCAGGGCCTGAGGGCAGCCGCCCTCTTCCATGGGGCACGACTTCTGAGATCATCGAAGCTCATGGGCTGGATGCGCCCATCCGTCGGCGCGCGGCTCGCGAACGAGCAAGCCCCGATGGGCCGGCGTCGTCGTTGGGCTCGCTGGCGCCGCAGGAGGCGGCCCGGATATCAGCGAATCGAGAAGAGGCAATGCGGCGCAAATCTTTGCGTTTGTTCTGCCCGTTGCCGCCGGCGGGATGGCCCGGCACTCAGGTGCCCCCTGTCCCGTGCGATTTCTCCCTCGAGCTGCCGCGTCTTCCGAAGATTCGCCTACTCGAGCGACTCAACGCTCACCCGCGGGACTCTCAGTTGCACATCGTCGAAAAGTCGCACTCCTACTGCGTTCGCGGCGCGCGAACGCATGGGCCAGTCACGGGATTGATACACGAGTACTCTACTGGTTACGACGCTCGCGCAGTGATTGAGAAGATGCGGAACGGGCGAAACTGGCCGCGACCTGATAATTGGCGCCACCCTCGCCCAGAAGACGCGGTCGCGGCGCTGCGGGCCGCGCCGGAGGCTGCTCGCCTGCACGAGTTGCTTGTTTCGTACGGGGCCTGCGACGCCGAGATCTGCGCCGAGGCGAAGGCAACTGCGAGGGCGGCCCCCCCCCTGGCATGCCTGATGGAAACTCTATCTCTTTCGGATCAGGAGATCGAGGAGAAATGGCGCCTGAACAAAGAAGAGGCGGCTAGGCGGGGCACCTGGAAACACTGGACGTTCGAGGCCCACCTCAACCGCGTTCCGGTGCCCCACGACGCCGTGGAGTTCCAGTTATTCTTGAAATTCTTGGGCGCGCTGAGAGGTTTGGCGGCTTTCCGCGCCGAGTGGGCCATCTTCGCCGAGCACGAGGGGCCTGCTGGGTCAATCGATTTCGTGGCTCGAGACTCCGCGGGCAGCTTGTACATATACGATTGGAAGCGGGCAAAGAATTTACGTTCCAAGTTCCAGAACCTATGGGAGAACATGAAGTTTCCATTGGGCCGGTTGCCAGACTGCGAGGGAAATCATTACCGGGTGCAGCTTAACATGTACAGGTGGATGTTGGAACGCTGCTGCGGCGCCCGCGTGGCTGCGATGTATGTGGTCTGCCTGCATCTGGACAACGGCGACCGGCCATTCGTGGGCGACTTGCCGGTGATCTCAGAGATCGAGGAGCTCATGGCCATTCAGCGCACGAGGTCCCGGGAGTTGCGGGCAATGGCATCGGAAGACGCCAGAGAGATAGACCCTCTGGGCGGCTGGCCGCGGCCAGTCGTGGAGGCGTGCTTGCCGTATTGCCTGAGCACCGCGGCCAATTTCGGTCGTGCTTCTCGCCAGATCTCAATGGAGGTCGCGCGCTGGCACTGCCGTCGCGATTGCGCGCCGCCCTCCTGAGGTGCCGTTGCAATTGCCAGATGCCGTCTTGCAGCGGATGAGAATCGCGCGCGTGGTCTTGGCGGAGGCAGCGCGGACAGCCACGTGCCCCCAAGCTCCTCGGAAGTAGTGGCGCCTTCGTATGAAGGAACGCATGGATGCGACGCGTGCGCTGCTAAAAAGAATTTCCGAATCATATTTACAACCGCCAAAGCGTTGGAGGGTGCATAGAGACAGCATGCATTTCACGCGTCCATTGCACGAGCCGAATGCGGGCGCAAGTCGCACTGCCCTGCGGGCGACGCGCGCAGGGTACGGTCGGCAGTAACAAAGAAAAATACTTTTCCCTGGGGCGCGTTTCGGCGAGATGCGGGGGGGGGACTAACTGCGGCATTTCACATGGGCGCCGATCGCGCGCTCGGTCGAGCTCGGCGCTCTCGCCTCAGCGCAGGCCGCGCGCGCGGAGAGTTCCAGGCCCCCCGAGAACAACTAGAGGAGCAGTGCGAGACGCTGCTTGGAAGTGACATGGAATATGATTCCCCCCCCCGCTTATATTTCAATGAGGCGCGGGGGAAATCCGAATGCAGTTGTTGTGACATAAGCGCAGCGCATACCTCGCGTGCAACGAGTACAGCGGACTACCACTGTCAATAACAAATGTAGGCGCGAATCGTTGAATGCACCGTATTATGCGTATCAGATAATGTCTTTGCAGAGATTCCATCCAGACAGCAGGTTTGCCAGAAAACGCAAAAACAGAACCTGTGGAGGTTGCCCAGCGTGGCACCGGCATCAGCGTCTGCAGCAGTGCCAGGAGTAGTAGTCCTCGTCGCCGCAGTATTCAGCGCAGAGCAAACCATAGCTGTTTTTCTTTCAAAGGTTCTCGCCTTGGCGCGGCTCGGCTTTGCCGGCCTGTCACTTAACTTATTGCGTCCTGCGAGTTGTCCTCCGCCTTGGCGCCGTGGCCACCGACGACCAGCGCGCTGCCGGTTTCCCGTTCCTGAGCCCGCACTACTCTGAGTTTGGCGACCCGACCCCTCGCGGGAGGGCTCGCCAGCGGCGGGCTTCGCCTGGTGCCCGCTCGCTGACGCCGGCGCGCAGGAAGCGTCGACTGTCCTCGCGGGCTGCGCGCGCGGCTGCAGCGCGAACCCCCCAATCGTCTCCGGAGAGAGACGACGCCGCAGACATCGATGCTTTCGCGCTGGTGGTTTCGCTGATCTCAGACGAAGCAATTGACGGTATTCTGTCATGCTTCCCTGCCTTGTTGAGACGGACATTAGCGCGTCGTTTCGCGCGGGGGTAACATATTCGCCTGGACAAAACGTTCATACTCGTGAAGCATTTCAGTTCGAGCAGGCGCAGTGCCTCGCGTGGCCCGCGCGGCGCCGGACTGGTTGGAGTCCTTGCTGTTGTGCCTCGCTGGTTTCAGCCTGCCAACGCAGAACTTGCCGCGGTGACAGCCCCCAGCCCCGTTCTCGATCGCTGCTTCATTTGCGGGGCGGATGACGGCGACGTCGACGGCATCGGCCAGTACTTGGAAGGGTGTGTGGCAAAGGTGAAATCATTTCCGTTCCCCGAGGTGACCCATTTGCGCGCGACGACCTCCGCGTGGGCCATGTTGGCGCCGCGATTGGAACCGCGCGGCGACGTCTTCGCACGCGCGCGGTGCAGCGGAGTTTGCGTCGCCCGGGAAGACACCCTGAACATAGAGCTCACTGCCGAAATGCTCAGAGCGCACAGGCGACGCGCGGCTTGAGAGCTAGGAGGGGCGTGGGCCGACTCGTTCCCGCGACTGTGGCTCAGGGGGGCGCGGCGGCGCTGGTACAATTGCGCGGGCCTCTGTCGAGCGCGGGCCGCGACTTTCGATCGACGCACTGCGCCGGCAAAAGCGCGATGTCTCCATCATCTCCAGATGTTCCCCCCGCCTTTCCATGTGTCCAACGTGGCGCGGAGCCTTTATGTCGCTCGATGCCCCGCGTAGTTGTGCCCTTGC